TGACCCGCAGGTCATGGGATCAAATACCGCTGGTGGCGGCGGCTGCATTTTCGATGGAGGCGAAAATGCTGTAGGCCCGTGTGCCCAGATTTAGGTGCACGTTAAATTACCCCAGGTGGTTGAAATTTCCGGAGGCCTCTATTGCGGCGTCTTTCATAATGATATTGTGGATTCGGGACGTTAAACCTTTATCATCATCATCACCATCATCATCAGCCTGACTACGTCCACTGCAGGACAAAGGCCTCTCCCTTGTTCCGCCAGTTAACCCGGTCCTGTGCTTGCTGCTGCCAATTTATACCCGCAAACTTTTTAATGTCATCTGCCCAACCTTCTATCTCCCCCTAACCCGCTTGCCTGCTCTGGGATTCCAGTTAGTTACCCTTAATGACGAGTGGTTATCCTGTATACGCGCTACGTACACGGTTCATGTCCATTTACTCTTCTTGATTTCAACTATGACGTTTGTTCCCTAATCCACTCTGCTCTCTTTTTGTCTCTTAAGGTTACACCTACCATTTTTCTTTCCATTGCTCGCTGTGTCGTCCTGAATTTGAGCTGAACCCTCTTTGTAAGTCTCCAGGATTCTGCTCCGCAGCTAAGTACCGGCAAGATACAGCTGTTATGTACCTTCTCCTTGAGGGATAGTGGCAATCTACCTGTCATAATGTGAGAGTGCTTGCCAAATATGCTCCGCCCCATTCTTATTCTTCTAGTTACTTCAATCTCGTGGTTCGACTTCGCGGTTATTACCATAAGTAGACATAGTCTCTTAGAAAATGAAGTGCACTAATACCTATCTCGAAGCGCTTCTCTCTTCCGAGGTCGTTGTACATTACTTTCGTTTCCTGCAGATTACTTTTAAGACCCACCTTTCTGCTCTCCTTGTCTAACTCCGTAATCATGAGTGTTAATTCGCCCCTAAGTTACTCAGCAATGCAATGTCATCGGCGAAGCGCAGGTTACTACGGTGTTCTCCATTAACTCTTATCCCTAATTGTTCCCATTCTAGGATTCGGAAAACCTCCTGTAAGCACGCGGTAAATAGCATTGGGGATATTGCGTCCCCCTTCCTGACACCCTTCTTGATCGGCATTCTTTTGCTTCCTTTATGAAGCACTATGGTAACAGTTGATCCCCTGTAGATTTCTTCCAAGATGTTTATATACACTGGAAGAAATCTACAGGAGATCAACCCCTCAAATCAATCAAAATCATGTCTGTCTGTCTATCTGTCTCTCTGCCCGTCCATCCTCCTGTCTGTCATTCGGTACGTCTGCCCATCCCTCCGTCCATCTGTCGGTCCGTCCATCTGTCTGTCTGCCTGCCTGCCTGCCTGCCTGCCTGCCTGCCTGCCTGCCTGCCTGTCTGTCTGTCTGTCTGTCTGTCTGTCTGTCTGTCTGTCTGTCTGTCTGTCTGTTTGTCTGTCTGTCTGTCCATCTTTCTCTTCGTGCGTCTGTCTCTCCGTATGTATGTATGTATGTATGTATGTATGTATGTATGTATGTATGTATGTATGTATGTATGTATGTATGTATGTATGTATGTATGTATGTATGTATGTATGTATGTATGTATGTATGTATGTATGTATGTATGTATGTATGTATGTATGTATGTATGTATGCTGGTCCGTCTGTCTGTCCGCTCATCCGTGGGCCATCTATTGAGCCCTCTGGGTACTATGGGTGGCTCAACGGACTTGGCGAGTGCCCTAACGCCATCTAGTAAAACATTCATGTACTAGCTAGTACTAGAATACCCCCAGTGCCATCTAGTGAATCCGAGAAGTAGAGGTGCTTACTACGACGTACGTGGCACTAACCCACACCATAAGGTGCTTCACCCCTAAAACTCGATATACTCACCTTTGTGCTCATATGCAGTAATATTACAACGTTTTTGTAATAATGGTTACTAAGTGTGAACCACCAACTAAAAGATAAAATTTATATGTTCCAGATTTTTTCACACAGTACATCTTTTTAGGCCTGAAAACACGCGAAATTGAAAGCGATCTCGAAACTCCGCTGTCATTCGGAATACTCGGTTTTGGAGAGAGCATCAACTGTCTGCGCAGCTTCTCACGCCGACAATTTCACAGACTCCATTTTTGGCTATCTTTTGACGTTCCATTGATTGAGGGGATCCCTCTGAACCTCAAATAATCAGCCCATACGGCTACTCGTAGCTTTTCTGACTACACTGCCTTGGTATAGCGCGACTTTGCCTTCAGGTACAGGGACGCCTATAGTACGTGCAATGAAATTACTTATTTCTTTTACTTTAAAAGGATATACTTAGAGCATCGACACACCAAGCTAAGTGAGCCGCAGGCCGTCACTCTCAGATTCCTGCAAACTCCTGCCCTATAACCCAGTGTATCCCTTAGTAGCATATATACGGACATATACCCGAATCAGTCAACGCGATAGCGTTAAAGAGCCCGTTTCGCATATATACCTATGTTGGCGTCGCTGGTTGTAGGCGAAACATTGTCATCTTATGCTTGACTGAAAAATCGAGAACGATGCATATAAAGTACCTATAAAAAAACCTGGAGCAGAGTGGGGATGGAACCAGGGTTGTTTGTGTCTGAGTGGGGATCAAACCCAGGTAGTTTGCGTGGCAAGCAGATGTTCTACCACAGGGCCGTTCCTCTTTTTTTTATTTCATGGTATTAATTAAAGTATCTGCGTAATAAAGACAAAATCAAGCAAACAAAAGTACAATCAAATGGCGACATTAAGCGCTCAAGCGTTACTCATAAACACTCAATGGCTAACACAGCGTGAGTTCTTCACATCGAGAGTTCTTCACATAGTGCTATGCAAACAAGAAAGGGGTAAGGTCAAACAGCTCTCTAAAATGGAGTACCAGTCTGGCCTGAAGTCTAGCTCGTCATGAACGTTTTTGAGGTGGATAGCCATTTGAATGAAGTGTGTCCTTGAAGAGGTGGTGGGCTCTGCATTGTGGTCTTGCATTCATGTCTTCCACAAGCTGTGCATACCCATGAGAAAAAACGTATCATATGGCACCTCATCAAGTATTGCTGGTAGAAGATAACGTTTTGTGTAAGAATTAATGACAAAACGTTTTTTAGTGCTCGCTAAAGGACATCCCAAAACAGTATGGCATCTTTGCAGGCTAGCAATGTTCAATCGTTTTCGGCACATCACCTAGACGGCAGTTAACAGACGGAATAAAAATACCGTTTCTTTTTAACCATGTGTTGACCGCCAATGTTTCAGATCGGAGTTTATAGAAGAATGTTTTTGAATTTGGTGGAGTGTACATTGTACGCACTCGCTTCAACATATTGTGGTCTGGAAGATTGGAGTACAGTGAGTGGTAACGGAGGTGGGAAGAGTGTACTCAGTAGATCCTTATACAGCACCTTGCGTGATACTGTGTACAGGTATTCTACAGAAAAGCGAGCTTTAAGGAACTGAACTGCGAGGTAAACTTCCTGCATGAATCCCCACAAGCATGGGCGTTTGGAGAAGCTCGATGAAACAATTAAATCTGATAGGCAATCAACAAGTGTAACCTGCAAGAAGGAACGGATTACAGGATGGGAGTTGTCTCAAAAAAAGAAGACTCGGGACACTATTTGCCATAGATAAAAGTGTTTTAATCCAATTCCATCATCACTAACTGGATTGAATATATTATCACGACGCATGGGCTCAAAAGTCGAAGATCATATGAAAGTAGCGAAAATCCGAAGAAAGCATTGTATATAAAAGCTTGTGCAATGAATAAGTTGCAATACATAGTAAAGCTTTGTTGATAAGAAAGTAATACAAGCTTCAGGGACGCATTCCTTCCAGTAATGCGCACTGAATCTATATGCATGCAATGGTACACCGAGGTATGTTGGAAGAGTTCTTGTCCAATTAATCCCTGCGAAGTGGTTTGGTGTGTTACCCCACAAGCCAAATCACAGTCCTAAACTCTTAGAGGCATTGAAAAGTTTGGCGTAGTATCAGGAGCTCGTTTTAAAGGGCCATTCCTATGCATGTGAGAGTAGGGAAAAGAACTTCCTCTGCTTGAAAACGCAGTGAAAGTAGGTTTCATTCTTCACAAACACACGCGTTCTGTATACATCCTTCACAATGAAACATGAAATATTGCAATAATAATGCGTGGTACAAGCATCTCTTGCCAACGGGCGTCAGAATGGGTGATTATCATCATGATGGCTCCGTGATTAAAAGCCGGTACCCCACTACAAAAGGCACACACACTACTGTGCATATTCCCTCAAGGCGACGTATAGTGGGTGCATAGCAAAATCGAAAAGGTTTCATGCACTAAGTGATTGAAACACGCATTAGGAACAGAATGTCGATATCGCGTTCAACTCCTAAGGGCGAAGCTTTAGGGTCCCCTAATTGTTTGCGTGGCATGTGGCGAGGCTGCTACATTGTCTTTAGTGCTCTGAGGGCGTGGGTCACTGAGCCTTAAGTTTGCCAAAGAAAAGTGGGGTACAATCCAGCGAAGTACCGTCTGTGAAAACCTAATCTTGACCTGTGATCTTGCGATGACACCTGTGATCGGGCCGGCAGGTCCCGACGCGGGATTAGCCGTGTGAGCATTTGATCGCGTCTGGCAGGATCCAACGATAGTTTATTCACTCACTCACTCGCTCACTCAATCGCTCACTCTTTCACTTACTCACTCAATCAATCACTATCTCACACCCTCAATCACTCACCAACTCGCTCGCTCACTCCATGGATGACTCACTCAGTCGCTGACTCACTCACCTGTTCGCTCACTCTTCGCTCTCTTATTCACTCACTCATTTCCATTGAATGTCAGCTTCATGTGATGTTGATTATGGAATATCCCCGCCGGATGCTTTGTCCTTCGACTAGCGCAATTCGCAAAGGATTGATCGAGTGAGATTTTTTTTATGTGCGATTGTACTATTATGTGTTCATTGTTTCCAGCTTGAAGCTGTCTAAGCTCGCAATCATTCTTTGTCCGTTCAGGAAACCGGCGAGTGCTGGTCGACTTCAACAAGAAGCCCGGATTTCAGGAGCTGGGTTTACCGGATGGCATGACCATCGACGTGAATGATAAGATCTGGATTGCGTGCTTCGAAGGCAGCACCGTTATCCAGATTGACCCTGAGACTGGTGAGATATTGTTTTCGACTGTGCAGTTGATGAATCATGGCTGCTCGCTTTTTTGCTAGGTGCGTAGACTGTACGGCTGCTCAAGTTATTTTTGGCAATGAAAAGAAAGTTATGAGGGTGGAGCTTTTAGGCAGACAAGCAGACAGATGGACGGGAGGACGGACCAACAGACAGACAGATAGGACGGACGGATGGATGGATGGACGAATTGACGCATGGACGGACGGGCGCATGGACGCAGGAATGGACGGACGAACGCATGGACGAACGCAGCAACGGGCGCACAGATGGACGCGCTGAGGCACGGACGGACGGATGGATGGATGCGCGGATGGGCTGATGAACGCTTCGCCCCACTAATTATTCTCTCCGTAATATGCTGTAATTTTTTTTTGCGTATACTGCTACGCGAAGTAGCCTTGTCTGCTATGCGTCTCATACCGCTGTGGAAAGTGGTGGCTACGCGCAGACAGCGTTCCGTACCGACGCAATAGGCGCTGAGCCATGCTCCTAATCAGGGCTGCAGAAGTTGCGTCTTCTCCTTTCGTCAACTTCTCTTTCTTTTTACCGACTTTCTCCCTCGCCAGAATGTAGGTAGGTAGGTATAAACTTTATTTTTCCTTTGTAAAGGAAAGGTGCAATGGAAGAGAGATGAGGAGAGATTGCTACGCTCGATAGTCCTCCGCAACCCTCTCTGCCCAACCCAGGATGGCCTCCTGGACGTCGGGTTTCAAGCTGCGCATGGCAGCCTCCCACTGCTCCTCATTACTAATTAGTTTTCGAAGGGACGGTGGAGGGGGGTGCTTAGGGCACCCCCACATGATATGATTAAGATTTGCTTTCTGTGCAGAGCAATATTTACAGGAGGAGGACGGGTAAAGAGAAGGGTACATGAGGTGAAGAATGTAAGGAGAAGGAAAGGTGTGAGTCTGCAGCTGTCGCCACAGTACTTCGCGCCTTCGTATGGATTTCGACGTTAGCGGCGGTAAGGATAAACGACCAAGGCGGTAGTGACTACAGATGTCGTGAAATGTTAAAAGGCGATCCCGCGCAGCAAACGGTGCCGTTGTCGAAACGGGGCCTGGCTCTTCCAGCGCCTGCGCCCGGAACGTAAATCCTCGGGCGCTGGCGTGAGCCGCCTCGTTACCGGCAAGGCCCGCGTGCGCGGGAGTCCATATTAAAGCCGTGTCTTGTTGCGGGGGATGGGCCAAAAGGAGGGAGAGGGCTGTTTTGGACACCCTACCCGCTCCAAAATTGTAGATGGCAGTTTTTGAATCACTAATAATAAGTGAATAATTTGGAACTGTAAGGGCCAGAGCTATGGCTGCTTCTTCCGCCTCCTCAGAAGAGGAAGCAGAAATAGAAGCAGCAGCAGATATCTGACCTAGCGAATTCACAACTGAGAGGGCGAAAAAAGGACGAGTACTGTATTCGGCAGCGTCAACGTAGAGCACTTCTTTAGAAGTAGAAAATCGTTTTTCGAGAGTTTTTGCACGCTGTCGTCGACGTTGCTCGTGGTGCACAGGGTGCATGTTTTTAGGGAGCGGCGGAATGAGTAGATTCTTGTGTATTTCACGCGGAATAGTGTGTTTGGCGTTAGTGGTTGGAGTTGGCCTGATACTGAGGGTATCGAGTATGTATCTTCCGGTCTGTGTGTTGGAAAGACGAGCATATTGTGAAGTTAAGTGTGCTTCAATAAGTTCAGTTAAGGTGTTCAATGTGCCTGTCTCCATGAGCCGTGCGGTGGACGTTCGAATGGGGACTCCGAGAGCGAATTTGTAGATTTTACGTAACAAAGTGTCTACGTTATTTTGTTCTCTTCTCAGAAGGAACAGATAAGGGAGAGAATAAGTCACTTTATTGAGGACGAAGGCTTGGATGAGGCGGAGGAGCTCTGCCTCTCGTAGCCCGCCATGCTTATTAGATATCCTGCCTATAAGGCGTAGAGTGTGGTCCACAGTTGTTTGAAGTGCTTTAATGGTGTGTGTGTTTAGTCGATTTCGTTGTATGTGTAGTCCAAGCACCCTGAGTCTGTCAACTTTAGGCACGGGTGTATTGTTCAGTGTTATTTGTATATCAGAGATGTGCTTTTCAGAGCCCCGATGGGCAGGAAGGAGGAGCAGTTCAGATTTAGTGGGTGAACAGGTCAGATTCATGTTACCCGCACAAACCACCACCCTGTCAGCAGCAGTCTGCAGAGTTTCCTGAATGTGACCATCGGAGCCGCCTGTCATCCAGAGGGTAATATCATCTGCATAAAGTGAAAATTTGAGATCTGATATGGATCTCAGCGTTCGAGCCAGCGGCATCATCGCGATGTTAAAAAGGAAAGGTGATAACACTGATCCTTGAGGTGTGCCGAAACTCCCCAAGGAGTAAGAACAAGAGTGTTCAGACCCAATGTAAATAGTTGCCGTACGGTTCGAAAGGAACGCAGATATGTAATCATGAATCTTTTTACCAACGCCTATAGCGCTCAGTTCACTCAATATGGCAGTGTGGCTGACGTTGTTAAAAGCCCCATGGAGATCGAGACTGAGAATTGCTTGAGTATCGAGGCTAGAGTTAGGGATAATGATGTCATGCTTCAGTCGAAGCATGACATCTTGACTGGAAAGGGATTTACGGAAGCCTATCATTTCGTGAGGGTATAAGTTGTGTTCTTCTATAAATTTGCTAAGGCGGTTGAGGATTACATGTTCAAGTGTTTTTCCGATGCATGAAGTGAGGGAAATCGGACGTAGGTTGGCTGTGTTTATGGGCTTACCAGGTTTTGGTATGAAAATAACTCTGGCGTCCTTCCACGCAGCCGGCAAGGTAGAAGTGTCGAAGCAGTGGTTAAAAAATTTAGTGAGGGCTATAATTGAGTTTTCATCTAAGTTGCGGAGAAGTTTATTATTGACGAGGTCAGGGCCTGGTGCAGATGAGGTGCGAAGGTTCGCAAGCGCGTGTCTAACCTCAGCCTCCGTTATGGGGCTACTGAGATCATCATTTGGTTGTCCGATATAGTCAGGTGCATCGTATCGATACGCGCTGGGTAGGTGTTTGTCACGAAGATCATTAAAAAGAGTGTTTAAGTTACCTTTGTGCGAGTGAAGTAGTTTGTTAATGTGATGATTATTTGCGGTACGTGATATGGTAGGGTCTAATAAATGCCGCAGGAGCTGCCATGTCATCTTGCTGTCTAGGTGGCCATGCATGCTTTCGCATTTCTGGGTCCATTGTTGACAAGCAAGCTGTATGGCATAGTCCTGAATTTGCAAATCGAGTCTCGCAATTCTCAGTCTCAGTCGGCGATTGTGTCGCCTCTTCTTCCAGCGTTTGAGGAGAGATTGCTTAGCTTCCCACATGTGAAGAAGTCGGGTGTCAACTATTGTAAAAGGCGTATCAGGTGGTAACATGGTGGTATGCGTTTTTGTGTCAGTGTGCAATTGCTGTACCCATTCCGAGATATCATCTATCTCAGTAGGCGCCGAGCAGTGACGGGCCTCGCGAAACTTGTTCCAGTTAATAAGGCTCAGGCGCTTGGGAGCTAAAGGTTTGTGTCGGAAGTGTATGGTAGTTTGAATAATGTAGTGGTCACTACCGAAGTTAATGTTCAGGTTGGTCCATGTGACAAAGTGAACGCGATGGCTGAGTGTAAGATCGGGAGATGTATCTTTAGCTACACTATTACCTAATCTAGTGGGCATGTCTATATTGTTGTGGAGGGTGAGGCGGTGATCCTGTATGTGAACCCACAAAGCCCTACCCTTGGGTGTAGAAACAGAGTGGCCCCATACTTGATTTGGTGCATTAAAATCACCAAGTATTAGGAGAGGGTGATGTTTCGCGGCCGCAATGGCTCGGGCAAAGAGAGTATTGAAGCGATGGTGTTTCGCCTGTGGCCTACTATAGACGTTTAATACGTATAAAGGCGATTCTTGAGTTTTACAAGGAAGGACCTCCAAAAAGTTGTGCTCCACATCGACGCCGTCGAAATTAGAGTGAGTTACCGTCAAATGTTTTTGCGTTAATATTGCCGTATCGGGAGAATTTAGAGATTTAGTTTGGTGTACACTGTAACCGGGAAAAGTTATGTTTCCGTGGGTCTCTTGTAGGGCAATGACTGCAGGGGGTTTGGGGCAGGAGGCCAAATATTGTTGAAGAGTCGCTTTCTTTTTGCGGAACCCCCTGCAGTTCCATTGCCATACTACAAAGTTCGAGCGATTAGGGTTTGCAGCCATTGTCGGGAGGGGGTGTAGGAGAGAAGGCGGGTACGGCTATATTTGGATTATTGGCCGTGACGGCCGCAATCCATGCAGTGGTCTGCTGCATTTGAGTTTGTACAAAATCTAGAAACTTGTCAAGTTTGTCATTTATGGCAGCTTGGCCCGTCTCCTGAGCTGTGAATCTGCTCTCTATGTGAGAAATCTTGCTTTCAATGACGGCGAATTTCTTCTGTGTTTTATTTTCGAGGGCGTTTATCCTATCGTTAAGAGTTAGAACTGTGTCGCTGAGAGATTCTTCTTCGCGTGGTGTGGCAGGGGTTTTGCGCTTATTTGAGGGTGGCAGCTGGGAGGTGTCTCGAGGCATTGTAGTGTCCATGTCAGTAGGAGGAAGAGGTATCGTGGGTTCAACAGCAGGGGGCGATTGAGCAGGAATGAAAGATCGTGGTTCGGAATGCTGCGAAAGATTGCTAAGGGGCATTCGGGATTGTAGCTCGAGCTTTAACTTTTGAATTTCTGCCTTGAGGCTAGCGTTTTCAGCTAGAACTTTTTCTAGGCTAATGTTTTGAGATAAGGAGCAGTTAGAGGAAGCTGCCTGTGCCCAGCTTACCTTTAATGGGTTTGGCAGATGACTGGTGGAATGGGGGTTCGTTGACTGGGTCGGGAAGTCAAGTTCTTTGGGAGTCGAGTTTGGGCCCCGCCTCTTGCTCTTGCTGCGACCCCGCTGTGGGCCACGCTCTTGCGAGCGATTAAGGCTCGGTGTCCGGGATGATGGAACTTCTGAGGGCTTAG